CGTGCCCAGGATCATGCAGTCGGCAGGCCAGGCGATGGGAGTTTGGAGAGGGCGCGTGGCGGGAGTCCGAGGTCGCGGGTGGGACAAGGATTCAGAGGTGGGGGGGGGGGATTCCTCCTCCTCCTCCTCGTCCTCCTCCTCCTCCTCGTCCTCTTCCTCCTCCTCCTCCTCCTCCTACTCCTCCTCCTCCTCCTCCTTCTCCTCCCTCCTCGCTCCTCCGCCCTCTCTCGTCCTCGTGTCGTATCCTGCACCGGCGCTAATCAAGCGGATGCACACTGCCATGGAATTGGCCCTAGTTGGCGGAGACAAGCAGGCGGCCTCTGTTGTGCGTGGTGGAGGGTTCGACTCCCTCGCATCACGATTGTTTCATACAGGTGAGACACATGTTTGTCCTCCTGGGTTCGCGTAGCCGGCCCGCAAACTCAGGGTCGGCGCAGCGGGGTCCGCTGAATCAGGGCCTGCGTCGTCTCCAGAGGCGAGGATCTCGATTCCTCGCAGCACCACCAGAGCGGCACGCCGCCTCAAGGAAGGCGGCAGCGAGTGGGCCAGGCGACTTGCCCTTGTCCCGCTCCGTCGCACTTATTTGCCTAAGTGCTCCCTTCGGGGATGCGACTTCTGTTGTCGCTCATGCACCGTTCCCACAGTTCCTCCTCCTCCTCCTCCTCCTCCTCCTCCTCCTCCTCCTCCTCCTTTTCCTCCTCCTCCTCCTCCGCCTCCGCCTCCGCCTCCTCCTCCTCTTTTTCCTCCTCCTCCTCCTCTTCCTCCTCCTCGTCCTCCACCTCCTCCGCAGCGGGGTCCGCTGAATCAGGGCCTGCGTCGTCTCCAGAGGCGAGGATTTCGATTCCTCGCAGCACCACCAGAGCGGCAGGTCGCCTCAAGGAAGGCGGCCGCGAGTGGGCCAGGCGACTTGCCCTTGTCCCGTTCCGTCGCACTTATTTGCCTAAGTGCTCCCTTCGGGGATGCGACTTCTGTTGTCGCTCACTCACAGTTCCCACAGTTATTCCTCCTCCTCCTCCTCCTCCTCCTCCTCCTCCCCTCCTCCTCCGCCTCCTCCTCCTCCTCTTTCCTCCGCCTCCTCCCGCCTCCGCCTCCGCCTACCGCCTCCGCCTGCCTCCTCCTCCCTCCCCTCCTCCTCCACCTCCTACCTATTCCCTCCTCCTCCGCGTCTCCTCTCCTCCTCCTCCTCTTCCTCCTCCTCTTTCCTCTTCCTCCTCCTCCTCCTCCTCCTCCTCCCCTCCTCCTCCTCCTCCTCTCCTCCTCCCCCTCCTCTCAGCCTCCTCCTCCGCCTCCTCCTCACTCCCCCCCCGCCTCCTCCTCCTCCTCTTCCTCCTCCTACCCCCCTCCTCCTCCTCCTCCTCCTCCCCCTCCTCCTCCTCCTCCTCTTCCTCCTCCTCCTCCTCCCCCCCCCTCCTCGGCATCTGGGGGTGTCGAGGGGGGCGGGAGGACGAGTAGCAGAACCGACGAAAAAAAAGGAATGAAAGCAGACCGCGCGCGTGCCCGGGCTCATGCACGAGGGAGCGGCGAAGGACAGGACGAGGGCGCTGGCAGGGAGGAGGAGAAGAAGGAGGAGGAGGAGGAGGAGGAGGAGGACCAGGAGGACCAGGAGGAGGAGGAGGAAAAGAACCTCTCGGGCCCATCGTGCGGCGTCCTCGGGGCCTCCGGGGCTGTTTTTTTTTTTTCTGGGGGGGGGCTTCCTGGGGCCACCTGGGCGCCCCTTCGGGCCCGGCCTTGGGGCGTATGGCGAGGGCCCTCTTGGGGTGGGCGGTGGTCGTCGTGGAGCTGTCCTGGGGCCGGCTCGGGGTCCATCTTGGACCCCACATAGATGTTCTTTCTTTTTTTTTGTTTACAAGCCTGGGGGGGAAACGGGGACCCCCCCACCCGTCCTTCCAAACTTGGACCGCCAGATCCGTCGTGGCCCCGGGGGCCCCTGGACGCCCTTGCAGGTGGCCCCCGAGGCTTCCCAGAGCTCCTGGAAGCCCCTGCTAGGCCCAGGCCACGGGCCCAAATCGGTCAGGAGGGCGGCCTAACGGACCCCCCGAGGGCCCGAAGAGGCCCCAGACACCCCTCAGACGCCCGAGCACGACCCAACGAAGACGCAGAAGAAAAAACACTGATGGCCCATAGTTTTTGCATGATTTGGGGAATTCTCTGTTCTTCAGTCTCCCAGGCGTCCGAGGCCGCCCAGGAGGCCCGAAAATCGGCCCAGCATTATCCGAGAGGGCTTCGTTCAAAAATTATACTTGTGTTTGTGTTATTCCCCCGCCGCGCCGCGGCGCGTGCGAAGCCGCGTTCAGCAATGCGAAGACGGGCGTCGGCCCACCAAGCCTCTGGATTGGACACCCGAGGGCGTTCTCGCGTGGCCGGGCGGCCCAAGCAAGCGCTGCGCTGTTTGCTTCTCGAGGCTGCTTTTCTTCCTTCAGCGAGCCCGGGGATGCCCTCCGGGGGGGCACGGGCGCGGGGCCACCCGCAGCGCTGCCTCCCGCCCTCCCCCTCCGCGCCGCGGCGCCGCCGAGGAACGGCCCTCGCCGCCGCGGGGCCGCCCGCGCGCGCCGCGGTGGGCACGCCGCCCGTGGCCGCGAGCGCCACGGGCTGCTCCGGCGCCGCGGGCGGCCACGGGGTCGGGGAGGCGCAAGGCCCGAGTGCCCTGAGATCCTGGCGACTTCATAGGGGGCCACGCGCGAACCCTACCCCCCTACCCCGCACGACTTCTGAGGGAGAGGGTGGGGTTCACTTCGCTCGGGAGCTCCTGGACGAAGTGAGCCCCACCCTCCCCCTCAGAAGTCGTGGGGGGTAGGGGTAGGGTTCACGTGTGGCTCCCTACTTAAAAGTTTCGAGCCCAGCGTTCTCGCCCGGCGTCGGCACCCGGGGCCCTCCCAGAGCGATGCGGCTCGGAGAATGGCGCAGAACGTGTGAGTCTATAGGGCTCCGGTCGTGGTGTTGCACGATGCTTCCATTTTCTCGAGGCGTCGGATCTCAGGGTTCGCCGGAGCCGGGGTTTACCCGCGCTTTTCGGCGGGCCCGTCCCGAATTTGATCGGTCCAGTTTTCATGGAATGGTTGCGGCGGGAGGTCGCGTAAAAATGTTCGATTGGATGTTGTTGTTGTTTCCTGACGGCCCCGTCAGGCCAACCCGAATTTCCCGAACCCGAGTCTTGCGTCTCCCCGACAAGAGGACGACGTCGTCGACGACGTTGCCGTATACACACACTCCCAGCGCAGTGACACAACATCGATTTGGTCGCCGTTCCCGGCGTTTCGGGGCCCAGGCCATCGCAGAGCCCCCAGAGCGTCAACCAAATTACCCCGCAGCGGAAAAAAACATGTAATCGGAAGTCTGGGTATACGACTACGTATACGACGACTTCGACGTCTACGATGATGATGTCGACAACGTCGACGTATTTTGGGGATTGGGTCGGGAACTCTGGGGCCACGGATTGATCGAATGTGATCGGGATATATGTTGGATGACGACGTCGATGACGCCTACGTATACGGCGACGGCGATGATGACGTCTGCGACGACGGCGTCGACTGCTTCGTCGAGGGTAGAGACAGGCCAGAGGGATTCCGACAGGCTATAGAAAGGAGAGCGAGGAAGAGCGAGAGAGAGAGAGAGAGAAAGAGAGGACGACAGAGAGAGCTGAGAGAGCACAGAGGGAGTAGAGAGAGCACGGAGCAGAGAGTAGAGGGCGCAAAGTACAGGGGGGAGGGTAGGGATCACATGTAGAGGGGGTAGAGAGTAGAGAAAATTGATAATGGAGAGTAGAAAGCACAGTGTAGAGTACATAGGGTCGAGAACAATGATACCCATATTCGTCATCCTCTGTCTTTGCCCGATAGAGATCTTCTCAGCATGTGAACAACTTGTTATGGGCATTTTTCAGGAGTGCTCCGTCGTGTTCTAGACTGGAGTACCCCGAGCTATCCACCCCATCCCCCGCGGACGGACTCCTCCTGGCCCCGGAGAGCATGATCACGGCCCCGTTGGCGCCGAAGTTCTTCCTCCTCCTCCTCCTCATATCCTCTTTTCGTATGAGTGGATCGCCCTTGTCGCAACCCCAAACGTGTCGTTAAGGGGGGCTGGGCGTGTCGCTCCAGACTTCCCCACCAGTGATAATCCTGCAACTTGGGACTTGCAGCGGGTTCAAGAGTGAAGGCCGGGGCGTCTTCAAAATGTGGCATGGGCACATTCGCTATGACAGTTTGCAACGTCGTCAGGGAGGGAGGCCAGGCGTTTTCAAAACGGGACTCTCGCCTTAGCGCCCCGCACGTTTGTTTTTAAAAGTCTGCAACAGCTTCCAGGATGAAGGACGGTGCCTCGTCAAAACCAGGTTCTCGCTTAAGCGCCGCACACAGTCGCTATAGAAGTCTGCAACACGTGAAGGCTGGAGGACAGTTCTTTTTCAAAGGGGGCTCCCGCTCTAGCGCTTCGCACTGTCGTCCTAGCAGTTCACGGCCGCTTTACGGAGTGATGGGGGTATTTTTCATATTGGGTAATCGTCCTATCACCGCGGGCATCCGCTTCAAAGTTTGCCAACTTAGAAGGATGGGGGGACGGATATGTTTCAAAGTGGTGCTCTCTCGCGAGATTTCCCTGACCTTGCAGAAACGATCTTTGAGCACACATAACATGACACGGGTTGAGGGCGATTGCGTTTCGAGATGGAGTTCTCGCTCGAGTCTTCTTCGAAGCTCATGACCAGAAGTGAAACATTTCTTACAGTGACACGGATGGGGGGGCAATCCTTTCTCGAACGGGGGATCTCTCTGGACACCTCGCCGAATTGTAGTATCGTAGTTTCTCGCGCTCTTGCTTACGCGCTGGAAGGATGCAAGGCAGATTATTTTCGAAACGTGGCCTTTGCCGAAACGGCAGGCCAATGTGATGTCTGTCTTCCAGGAGGGGCAATTCTACACACGGAGAGGAAGCCGTGCGGGGACGCATGAGGGGGGATTTGGGACAGGAGAGCTTACTGCAGTATCGCTAATGCATCTTGGGCTTACTTTGGTCCTCCTCCTCCTCACCCTCCTCCTGGTGCTGCCGCCGCTTCCTCTTCCTCGACATCGGGGGCCCCTCAGCCGGTCCGTCTGGCCGAAAATCGAGCTCCGGAAGGAGTTCCCAAGGGGACTCTCGTCGGTGTACACGGCCCAGGCTCGGAGAGCCCCGAGGGGCAATCGCTTGCAGCAGTTGTTGGTAGGGCCTGGTCGGCCATCTGTCGGCAAGCGTCGAGTCGCGCCACAACCCGCCCGAGGGCCTCCGCGCACCTCCGCGCCGTATCGGGCGGGCAGGAGGCCCGAGCGCCTTGGTCGCGCCCGCAGAGGGCCAGAGGCCGAGCGCAGCTGCCCACGCAGGGCACCCGGGGGCCAACGAGTCGTCGCTGTTCTGTGGCGCAGGGGCGCTGCCCCCCAGAAGTCCATCCGTTGTGATGTGATTCCCTCCTCCTCCTCCTCCTCCTCCTCCTCCTCCTCCTGCTCCTCTCCTCCTCCTCCTCCTCCTCCTCCTCCTCCTCCTCCTCCTCCTCCTCCTCCTCCTCCTCCTCCTCCTCCTCCTCCTCCTCCCCCCTCTCTTCCTCATCCTGCGCCTCCTCCCTCTCCCCGCACCCCCTCCTTTAGCAGGAGCTAGTGCAAGGGCCGCCGAGCCACTGCACAAGGCAGACTGAATCGGACGTGGCAAGGCCAGCACCCGACCACGGGAAGGTTTTTGGGGTGAGGGCCCCTGGGCCTCGGTGGGTCTCTTCCTCACGGTACAAATTCTGGACCAGCGAATATTGCTTAACTTGTTTATCTTCTTTCCCTCTCCTCCTCCCCTGAGATCCGACGCCAGAAAAATGCAACATCGCGAGAAATCAAGGCCAGAGCCTTGGACCAAATCTTTCTGTTACACGTTTCGAGCCGGATCGATACGTGATGGCTCCAGAATTCGAAGCCCAGCGAAAGCGCCACTTCTGAAAATTCGCATGGCGAAGAACCCAACCATATGCAGTTGTGAGTACCGCAGTTGTGGGTATCGTCTTCCGTGGAGCTTCCTATGGGCCACGAAACGCCGTACTGGGTGAGGGAGACGCATGAGAATTGCGCCACCTGGGACCTTCGGTGGAGCTCCCTATGGGACCACGAAGCTCTGTACTGGGTGGGGGGGCAGCATGCGAACTGCGCCACTGGGACCTTCGGTGGAGCCCCCTTCTGGGGCCACGAAACGTTGTAATTACTGGGCGGGGGGGACGCACGCGAACTGCGCGACTGAGACCTTCGGTGGAGATCCTCATAGGTGTCACGAAACGCTGTACTGGGCCGGGGGGACGCATGCGAATTGCGCCACTGTGACCTTCGGTAGAGCTCTCTCTGGGGCCACGAAGCGCTGTACTGGGTTGGGGGGGCGCATGCGAACTGCGCCACTGCGACCGTCGGTAGAGCTCCCTATGGGGCCACGAAAAGCTGTACTGGGCAGGGGAGACGCATGAGAACTGCGCCATTGGGACCTTCGGTGGAGCCCCCTTCTGGGGCCACGAAACGTTGTAATTACTGGGCGGGGGGGGCGCACGCGAACTGCGCCACTGGGGCCTTCGGTGAAGCTCCATCTGGGGCCACAAAGTGCTATATTGGGCGGGGGGGACGCATGCGAATTGCGCCACTGCGAGCGTCGGTGGAGGCACGGGGACTACGAAACGCTGTACGGGGCGGGGGGGACGCATGCGAACTGCGCCACTGGGACCTTCGGTGGAGCACCCTCTCACTCACTCATGCCATACGCCGGAGCGCGTGGGCGAAAGAAGAGACAGTGCCAGCCAGCTATCGCCGCTCAGCGGGAGTGGCGGCGCGTCGGCGGTCGCATAATTTACAGCGTGCCCGGCGGCGGGGAGGGGGAGGGGGGAAGAAGACGAGGGGAAGGGGGAGCGGGGAACAAAGCAACAAGTCACAGATGCCCGTCTGGCTCGACGCACTGTTGTGTGTGGCGCTTCACCAAAGCATCCCGTTGCACAGGGTCACGTATGCACTGTAGGAGCAGATCGTGCGAATGGAAATTGGACGAGATCATTATGTGCAGCTCCGTTGCCCATTCTCTCTTCGGTCGACCACGCTTGCGTTTGAGCGCGGCCGTGGCTGCGAGAACAGTGTCAGGCTGGAACGTGGCTTGTCTAAGAAAATCGTGGGTCGACGCCCTACCTATTTTTCCAAACAGCGCGAGCTGATGTCGCAGAAGCTGGGTGCTGTAGGGGGCCTGCCGGGCCTCCTGCAGGACGACCTTATTTGGCACGCGTGACAGGAAAGGAGGTGGAATGTGTAAAACTCGTCTGAGGCACTTGGCTTGGAATCCATCCAGCCTCCTTTCGGATTGGTTCAGCCAAGCAGTGGAAAGTGAATACAAGAGTTTGCTTGTAATCAGAGCTTGAAACATTTCGATGTTTCTGCTCTTGCCGACGGCTGTGTGCTTCCAGGCTTGGTCCTACTTGACGAACTCGGCCCATGCAGCCCCTAGCCGCTTGTTCAACTCTGTCGAAACGCAACCTGAGCTGTACAAGGTGGCTCCTAGGTATGACAAGTGGTTTTGGGCAAGGATCAGGCGGCCTTCGGGAGTTCGCAAGTAGCTCCATCCCGGCTCGTGCCCCAGACCACGCTACAGCATCCAACAATTGTTGTAAGTACTGTTGAGATCTACCTATTAGTAGGGTGTCGTCGGCGTACAATAAGATAGACAAATTGCCAATTTCCATATCTGCTCTCGTTGCCTGCCCCAGCTTGTATTCGGGTCACGAAAAGCTGTACTGGGCGGGGAGGACGCATGCGGACTGCGCCACTGGGACCTTCGGTGGAGCTCCCTTCTGGGGCCACGACGCGCTGTACTCGGCGGGGGGACGCATGCGAACTGCGCCACTGGGACCTTCGTTGGAGCTCCTTATAGGGGCCACGAAACGCTGTCCTGGGCGGGGGGACGCATGCGGACTGCGCCACTGGGACCTTCGGTGGAGCTCCCCTCTGGGGCCACGAAACGCTGTACCCGGCGGGGGGGACGCATGCGAACTGCGGAGGAGGGAGGAGGGGGAGGAGGAAGGAAGGAGGAGACGCGGGACGCTGTCTCTTCAAAGCGAAAACCCAACACCACAGGATGGTTGGGAAAAAACGCAGCGCACATATCTCAGGGTCCCCCTTCTCCTCCTCCCCTTGCTTCCCCTCGTCCCTCCCTCGCCCCCCGCCCCCCCCACCCCTCCCAGTCCGATCCAGGTGCCGGGCTGGCGCGGCCGCCTGCACCAGGCTTCGACCGGCCAGCGAGCGCGTGGACGCTGGAGTTCGGGCGGCGCTCAATGGGGGGAACGGTGCACTTCTTGGGGGCCCTGGACGCCTCCTTCAGGGCCCTGAGAGGGCTCCCCGAGGGGCCCTCAAGGGCCCCTGTTCGGCAGCCTTCGCTGCCCCCCCCCATGACGACGACGACGACGACAACCGCGACGACGACGACGACGACGACGGAAAAGACGACGACGGCGGCGACGACGACGACCCCCCATAACGCGCGGTCCGAGGAGTCTGCCCGCCGCGGCCTGGAAGCAGGCGGCGACCCCAGGGGGGCGAACGCCCGTCCTGCCCTCCTCTTCAGGGCTGGGCGTCGCCACGACAACCAACAGGAAAACATCGGGACGGCCAATCGTTTCAACGTTTCCGACCTCTGGAGGCCGGTTCGTTGCTCCCGGGCAGCTCGGAAACGGTGCAGGGCTTGAAAGCTTGCACTCGGGAGGAAGGGATCGAGACTTTGGGGGTCGCATGCTGTAAAAAAGCACTGCGTTCGATGTGTGTGTGTGTGTGAGTGGGAATGTGTGGGTATATGTATGTGGCGTATGTGGTGTGTATGTGTGTGTGTTGTGTGTTGTGTGTGCGTTGTGCGTGTTGTGTGTTGTGTGTGTTGTGTGTTTGCGTGTGCTGTGTGTTGTGTGTGTGTGTTTTGTGTGCTGTGTGGGTGTGGTTGTTGTGTGGGTTGTGTGTTGTGCGGATTGCGTATGTTGTGTGTTTGTGTTTGTGCTGTGTGTGGTTGTGTGTGATTGTGTGTTTGTGTGTGCTTGTGCGTTTGTGTTTTGTGTATGTTTGTGTGTGTGCTTGTGTGTTTGTGTGTGTACGTGTGTGCGTGTGTTTGTGTGTGCTTGTGGTGTGCATGTGCGTTTGGATGTATGTGTGTAGTTGTGTGTGATTGATTGAGTTTGTTTGTGTGCTTGTGTGCGTTTGTGTGTGATTTTGTGCGTTTGTGTGTGGTTGCGTGTGCATTTGTGTGTGTGTTTGTGTGTATGTGTGTGTTTGTGTGTTGTGTGTGCTTGTGTGTGGTTGTGTGTGTTTGTGTTTGTGTGAGTGGATGCGTGTGCGTGGTTGAGTGCGTTTGTGTGTGTTCGTGTGTTCGTGTGTGTCTGTGTGTTTGTGTGTTTATGTTGTGTGTGTGCTTTTTTGTGTGTGTTTGTGTGTGGTTATGTGGTTGTGTGATTGATTGTGTGTTGTTTGTTTGTGTGTGTGGGTGCGTGTGGCTGCGTATGTGTGCGCGCGTGGGAGCGTGTGGGTGCGTGTGTGCGTGTGTGCGTGCGTGTGAGCGTGCGTGTGTGCGTGAGTGTGTGCGTGCGTGGGTGTGTGTTTGTGCGTGCGTGCGTGCGTGTTTGTGTACGTGTTTGTGTGTGTGTGTTTGTGTGCGTGTGTGCGTGTGTGCGTGCGTGCCTGCGTTTGTGTGTGATTGTGTGTGTGTTGTGTGTTTGTGTGTGTGTGTGTGGGTGTGTATATGTTTTGGGGGGGGGCGTCATCTCCTTTTCTTCACCACGCAGGAAGGGTGTCCTGGAGGAAGGGGTCCTGGAGGCTTCTTAGTTGTTTTCGGCTTCTGGGGGCCTTCCACGGGCCCTGGAACCGTGAAATCAGTGCTCAAGATGCAAGCCGGTGTCGGATAAAGCACCGGGGCCCAGGACCCGTGCTTACCAGAGTCTGTTTACCTCCATTGGGATTTCATTATCTTTGTCCCCCGTCTTCTCCTCCACTCTATCCTCCGTCTCCCCTCTCCGTCTCCCCTGTCTTTCTCCTCATGTGCGCCCTCCCTTTCCTCCCCTTCCTTGCCTCCCCCCTTCCCCACCTTGTCCTGTCAACGTCCCTGGCACCTTCCCTCCCGTCTTCCAGTACTGAGTGGCAGTTCGGGGCCCCCAATCACGAAGCAAATGTCATACAGCGACTTGTCGGCATTTGTGGGTTTGCATGTGGCCGCACCTCCTTGCTCAAGTTCTTGAGGGAATGCAGGCATTGTTCGAACGCCTCACGCACGATCTCGCCAGTGCCCTCTCCACGGCTCTCATCGTGCGCGGCAGTTCACCTCCGTGTCCCGCCTGCGATTGCGTGTGCTCGCCCGCGCTGCACTGTCCCGCGCTGGAGTGCCGCTGCCCAGGCGGCCTGGGAGCGGTGACCACCGCCCCCTCGGAGGCCGAGGCCGCGGGCTTCTCGGGCACCGCGCTGGGCACCGCGCTGCTCCTCGGCGCGCTGGGCGGCTGGTCGCTCGCCTGCTGGGCCTCGCGCTGCGCGGCGCCCTCGGCTCGGGGCAAGCCGTTCGCGCTGGAGGCGGACAAGCGCACGACCGACTTGGCGGCGGAGGCGGCAGCGTAGGCTGCGCGCTTTCGCAGAGCGTAGTCGGGATGGCGACGCCTGCCGCGGGCCAGTTCCACCTGGTGAGGTACAACGTTGGCGGGCCCGCGATCTACCACGAGCGCTTGACGTTGCTGCCTGGGTACGTTCTCACGCCCGACGGTGACGACTATGCCGAGGTCGCCACCCCGAATCACGACATCCGATCGATTCACTTTCTCTGTGGCCAAGGTGAGGGGCCTCCTGAGATACCGCCTCAGCATCTATATCAGTTTCGACAGCTTCCTCGGGCCGCTGAGGTGTGGGCGGCTCTTCGCCGCGCGACGGCCCAAGGGTTCGGAGCGACGCCAGCGTCGCCGTTCTGCATCGACCTGAGTGCCACCAACGTGCTGGGGTTGGCCGCAGGGGCGCTGCCGCTCCCCGACCCTGCAGCCGTCGCGCTTGGCGCGGGTGCTGGAGCCCTCGCGCCTGCGGGCGACCCAGGGTTGCCAGGCGGCGCCGCCCCCGCGGCGGGCGCCCCGCCGGCTGCTGGTGCCGCCGCGGCGCTGCCTGCCCTCGGCGGCCCTGCAGCTGCTGGACCCCCGCTGGAGCTGGTGGTGTCGGCGCCCTGGCGGCCGCCCTCGGTGGCGGAGGAGCTGGAGCGGCAGCCGCCGCGGTTCCAGTGCCTGGTGCCGCGCCCGCCGCCGCTGCGCCGCCCCTCGGCGGAGACCCGCGGGTGATGGCGCTCGTGCTCGACGGCCGCGGCTTTCGGGACATCACCTTCAGCGACGCGGCGAAGCTGCAGACGGAGACGGTGAGGGCCGACTGGCCAGTCAAGGGCCCTCGGACACTGCTCTGGGTCCTCGGGTTCATGCTACGTATGGCTGGAGGTGCTATGGTACGGCACAATAGGTGGATTGCGATGATGCAGCTGGGGGAGTCCGACGAGAGTGCGGAGCTCCACGAGACCCTGCGCCGCGTGATAGAGACCGCCCTCTGCCACGACCAGCTGGTGATATGCGAGTTGGCCTCTTACGAGTACCTCGCCCGCCAGCTTCAGTTGATAGAGGAGCGCGCGTTCGAGGAGCGCGCGCGCAGGAGCCAGCCCGTGCCGAAGGCCAAGGCCCAGGCCAAGGAGCTCGCGGCTGCGGACTTCGGTTCAGAGGTCGGCCACTTCCCCGGCACGGGAGAGACGAAAGGGAACTTGTGCATCTGTCCTGCGCTGATGGATTGGATCGCCGATCAGATGAAGATGGAGGCAGCCGTCGCAAAAGAACGCCGCAAGGCTCGTGAGGAGCGAGCCTTGCGGGCGCCATGACACCCCCTCAGGACCCTGGCCAGGATGGGCCTCACGAGCCTGTCCCCATCGCTCGTGAGCCTGGCCAGGATTGCCCAGAGGCCCTCGTGCCTCCGCCTGGTCTGGACGCGCCCACGCGTGGTGCCGATCGCCAGCGCGACGTTTTCCCGCTACCTCATATTCCTGTGGATGGGCGCCGCCATCTTCCGCTGGGCCGTGCTGCTCGTCTGCGCGCCGCCAAAGGTGCGTGCTGGCGCGAGTGGTGCAACGAGGGGCTCACCGCTCTCCACTGGCTCCATAGTGGCCGCGACGCGGAGCACCTCCCGCAGGTCGGTGGCGACCCGCCCGCCGTGCAGGCTGCCTCGGTGGACTACCTCTCGAGCCTGTATCGGGAGTTCGAGCTGCCTGCCGCCCACTCGGAGAGGAGCAGCGCCTGCGAAGCATCCCTGGTAGAGATGCTCGCCCAGGCTCCTGGCTACGCTGGTGACAGCGGTCGGGTCCGCCCCTACAGCCAGCCCCTCGTGGCCTGGCCCAAGTCGACGAAGGCTGTGTCCACCTCCGACGTCGTCTCGGATGCCGACTCCATCGTGCTGCAGGGTTGGAGGCAGACTATGCTGAATTCCGAGTCGGTTGCTGCGGAGCTCCGCGACATTCTGGGCATTCAGCGCCCGTGCGTCGATCCCGAGCTTCGCTATCAGCCTAAGTCTTACGCCCAGTTTTTGAAGCAGCTGGAGGCTCACGACATGATATCATGGAGGGCCGCCAGTGCTCAGTCTTCTCACACAATCGGTTTATTCTTCGTGGAGAAATCCAATCACATGCTCGGGCTCGTGTTCGACACTAGGCTGGCCAACTGCAGCTCTGTCACGCCGCCAGCCACCAAGCTTCCCACGCCCAGTGCGTGGGCGAGTGTTGATTGCGACGACAGCTTCGTTTTTGCGCAAGGCGATATTCAATGTGCCTTCTACCACCTGCGCCTGCCGACAGGGATGGAGTCGCTGTTCTCGCTGCCCGCTATATCCAATCGTCACATCGGCCTCACATCGATTAATGGGAGGCCCGTCGGTATCCACGATTTTGCCCAGCCGTTGGTCACAGTTGTTGCCATGGGTTGGAGCTGGGTTCACTTTTGTCAGAGCGCCCTCGTTCGTGCCCTAACCGACGCTGGATTCGACAGTAGTGACATGATCGTGGACGGAGGATGCCCCCGAAAGCTAATCTCTCACACCGACGCCATATGTGCTGGATACGTTGACAATTTCTGCGCTGTGTCAAAAAGCCTTGAGATTGCCACTCGCCGTGCTCGTGAGATCGCCGACCTTCTAACGTCTCGAGGCCTGCCTGTCCTGGAGTTCTCGGAGGCCGTCAGTAAGGGTGCCGTCACGGGCTTGCAGATTGACGGTCTCTCGGGTGCCGTTCGAGTTCGGCCTGATCGCCTCGCGCGTGCGCGGCAGGCTGTGCTCGGACTCATACGACGCGGTCGGGCCTCTGCGGGGGCTCTCAGCGCGCCGGTGGGTCACTGTACTTGGGGTATGATCTTGAGGCGGGATGCCTTGGCGATCTTCAACTCAGTCTATAGGTTCATCAACGTGGCGGGCGCTCGGCCCGCGCCTCTTTGGGATTCTGCTGTTAGGGAACGTCGAGCCGCAGTTGCCTTGATCCCCCTCTGGAGCGCCTCTAC